CCCTCCCTCCCTCCCTCCCTCCCTCCTTCCCTCCCCCCTGTTCTCAGGTCTCGGCCGCGGAGGAAGGCAACGCGCAGTTGAACCAATTCATCCTGCATTCGTCCTTGGACATGCTGGAAAAAGCCATGTGGTCGTCTCCGTACATGAATCTGCGGGCCATCGACCGTTTCAACGGGCACATCGTCCACGCCTTCCTCACAGCGGGGGGCACGGCCTTCCTCCTCCTCCACGACGGAAACCGGGGGGAGGAGTCTCTCGTCGGCTTTTTCAAGGACGTGTACGAATTGTACGTCAAATTGTTGATGAACCCGTTCTGTGAGATGGACAGGCCCATTGTTAGCAGCAGCTTTGAAGCGCGGGTACGGGTCTTGGAAAAACGTTGGTTGAGATGATGAGATGGGAAGGGAGGCCGGGCACCCCGTCGCCGGGAATGTAGAAAGCGGGAGGGAGGAAGACGAGATGGGGGAATGTAAAAAGGAAAAAGCCATGACATCCACCTGTACGCACGCATCCGACGTGGCTCTAAAAAGGCATAAGCCAAGAGCGTGCGCCAAAGGATTGGATCGGTCACTCCTGTATGATTCCATACAATTACATCTCATGCCTGTGCCTCGGCGCCGTCATCCCCTGCCCGCCCTCCGTCCCTCCTACCCCTCGCCATGCTCAAATCACCAAGCTGTCCGCACGCCCCCATTTCCTCCGCACCCTTCGACTCGCGGACGGTGGAGAGACGCCCGTGGTCCTTCAAAATGCGTCGAAAGGATCGGATCGCGTCCGGGGAGGCAGGCAGAAAGTTTGCGCCTGCCGAGGGAGGGAGGGAGGGAGGAAGGGGGGGTGAGAACATTGCTTGGAGGGGTCAAAGCAATGATGTCCCTCCTCAGCCCTCTTCCCCCCCTCCTTGCCCCGAACCTTCATGCGAGTTGAAGTGGATGAGGTTGATCACGCAGTCCATCCCTTCCGTCATCGCTGCCAGCCTCTCGGCGTCTTTCTCGTCATCATTCACCCCCGCCAAGAGCAGGTACTCCAGAGCCACAGGCCCCCGCCGCCGCCGCTCCCTCCGTCCGGTGCTCGTCGCAGCTCGAGGGAGGGGGAAGTGCCGGCGCAGGGAGGGAAGGAGGGAGCTGGAGAGGGGGTACCGGCGATTGATCGGCATGAAGGAGCTTCGGACC